AGCCCTGAGCCCCCCGACCGCACAGGTGTGCAGGGGAGCACACGACGGACACTGTGGGGGCAAGCAGGGCTGGGAGTGGGACAGGTGGGAAGTGTGTCAGGAGCGCTGGCCTAGGGCGCCTCTCCTGGAAGTGGCTCGGCTCCGTGTGGTGAGAGGGTTGAGACCCCAGACATCGAGGCAAGCAAGCGTGCAGGGTCAATGCGCTCTTGGTTAAAACAGTGACCTTGACAAAAGCCAAAAGCCTTTTCCAAGTACAACAGCAGCAGAGAACACACACTCCGGTGTCCAAAGGGCACGCCACCGTGGGCCGGGAACAAGGTCCCCACTTCAAAGGGAGTGGGGATCACACGTGTCTGTCCTCTGACCCGGCACCTGGCGCCGCCTCTGTCTCGGCAGGCGGCCGCGCCTCCCTGTCCCCACTCCGGTCCGTGGTGTTTGGTGGACAAATGCACGCTGAGGCCCCCAGGAGGGGCCTCCTGATGCCGCGCGCTGGCCAGCTCCCCAGGACTCCGAAGGAGACGCCGGCTGAGAGCCTGGCGGTGACGGGCCTTTCCCCGCGGGAGGCACACACATTCGCCTGAGACAGAGGAACGGCCCTCGTTCAGGCGGGAGCCCGGAGAGCGTCCGGACGAGCCGGCGCAGGCGAGTGGCGTCCCTGACGAAGGGGAGGGCACAGCCACGTCCGGTGCGGGAAGGCACAGGTGCACTTCACATGACCCAGGGACACCAAGTCTACACAGCGCTTTAGTTTTGCGAAATCTTTGTTTATTTACTTTTGGAGAGGAAGGAGCGTGAACTTTCCCTGCATCTGCAGACACGTGGAAGCTCGCTGTGGCGGCAGCGGCAGGCCACACCCACCAGCACTGCAGATTCCCAGAAGGAAAACCGACCGTCAGGACTGGGCCGCAGCACAGGACGGACTTTCACCGGAGCGGGGGGCGGGGGGGCTGCAAGGTGGGCCCTCGGGGGGGGGGGGGACAGGGTCTGCGGGGGTGGGGAGCAGCCAGCAGCTGGGGCACAGCCTGGACATGGCTGGGTACCGGGGACTCCTGCGCTTTGGGGGCGGGCGTCCTGGCCACAGCTGCCCAGCCCCGCCGGCCGCTCCGGGCCACTCCCTCGGGAGGGCAGGCTCCGGAGACGCAGGAGGAGTGCGGCCGGTCTGGCCCCGGCCCGTCCCCTGCTCTGCGCCAAGGCGGGAAGCCCGACCCCTCCACGGGGGCCAGGCTGGGCCAAGGGCTGGGTTCCAGGGAACAAAGGCGCAGACTCAGCTCTGTGCAGCTCCGTGCAGCCCCGTGACCCAGGCTGACACCCCCACCCCCCCCCCAGGCCAGAACAATGCGCCCCGTGGCCTTGCACGCCCTCCTGAACCCATCTCAGGTCACCCAGGCCTCCCGGGCAGGACAGGGCCTGGCTCAGGTGCACACTCCCTGCAGGCCCAGCACCTCTTAAAGAACCTGACCTACTTAGAGATGGAACCACACCGCTGAGGTCCCCCCCCAGCCCCACCCCCCACTGATCTGGGGCTCAGATAGGTTGCAGACAAGCCGACGCTCCACCGTTTCTAACTGAAGCTAAAGACAGCACCGCGCTTTCGGCGTCACTTTTTCCACAATAAAACGGGTCAGAGCAGAGACAGATCTGTCTCTTCAGAAACATCAAGAACAAAACTCGGGAAGGTTGTCCAAAAGGCGGGACGGGGAACAGCGCCCCCTGCACAGGCGGGCGCGCCCCACCGCGGCCTCCGTCTGAGTGTCAGACTCACACGTCGTCCGGAGAAGACAGGGACCACAGGGACCGCTTGCTCTGGCGGGAAGCGAGGCACGGTGTCCACGGTCTCCCCCAGGCTGGCGGCCTGCGTCTGCTGCTGGCCTGTCGGCCCGGTCAGTCCCCTGGGCAGGACGCCGGGTGCGGGGAGCAGCGACGCCCACCCGGAGGTGAGCGGACCCCTGCGGACGCAGGCCCCGGGGGGAGCTCAGCCAGCACCCTGAGGGCGCAGAGAAGGGCTGGGGCCCGGGGACAGCATGCGCGAACGGACCGCCTGCTGCAGAGGTCTCCCCCCACTGCCCCCCCACCCCCGACGGACCTCAGACAAGAGCCCTGCCCACCCCGCCCTGCAGGGAGCACGGGGTTTACGTAAACAGACTGTCCTCTCGAATGTTTCTAAATGTGCGTAAGAACTGAAGAGTCCACCCACACTGAGGTTCCTGAGGTCACACCCAGGTTCCCTTATCACTGACACCTGGTATCAGTGTGGGGTCCTGTCCTTATTAACAAAGGAATATTGGTATGTTATTAACTAAAGTCCACGGTTAATTCAGATGGCCTCAGACGTGCCCACTGCCCTTTCTCTGCCTCAGGGTCCCCTCTAGGACAGCACAGGACTCTTCGGGGCCTGCTGGCCGACAGTCTCTCTGACTCCCCGAGGTTCTGACGACCTCGTTACCAAACGCAGGTCTGGCTGCCTGCGCCACGACAGCCGAGTCTCAGCGAGAGAAGACGCAGGGGGCCGGCGGCCGGACAGGAAGAAGCGCAACTCTCTGCAGTTGGAGACGCGATCCAGGTAGAAAACCCCACAGAATCCACGTAGGGCTGTTAAGGCTAATAAGTGCAGGAAAGTCAAGGTCAACACACAAAAATTACTTGTATTTCTACACAATGGCAACAAACAATCCCAAAGGAAATCAAGAGACAGGACTTCCGGTCAAGACGGAGGGGTAGGTGAACACACCTTGCCTCCACACACAGTTACAGCCAAAAAAAACTAGACTACGAACAAATTTCACCCAGAAGTGTCAGAAAAGCGCTCTGTGTGGAAGTCTGACAACCAAGGATTTTAAAAAGCCACACTCGTTCAGATGGGTAGGAGAGGTGGACACAGGGCCGGGTGGTCCTACGCCCACTGAGGTGGACAAAAATCCGGAGGGATCCCAGATCCCAGCCCCAGGCCAGACCACCCGGCCCAGGGTCCCAGAGCCAGGGAGGTAAGTCCCCGGAACTTCTGGCTGCAAAAACCAGTGGGGGTTGGGGCAGCGGAGAAACCTCGTCCTCTTAAAGGGCCCACAGCAGACTTAGCACTCAGAGACCCACCCCCTCTGGGATTCAGCACCAGGGCAACTGCCGGAAGGGCACAGTGGCAAACGGGGAGAAAGCGAAGCCCTCAGCACAGCGGCACTCACCCGCAGAGGGTCCAATAGGCCAGGACAGGGGGGGGGGGGCACAGGCTCAGAGGGGACAACAGCGTCCCTGGTCACCTGTGCCAGTGTGCTCCCCAAGTCCAGGCAACTGTGTCCGCCACGTGTGGGAGGCAGACTCGAGCTCCGGGCTGAGCCTTCTGAGAAGGAAGCAGGAGCCCCACCCCCTCCCCAGCATGTGACAGTTGTCATCTGCCACTCGGAGCGGAGACACCCCACCCCCACCTCGGCCTGAGCCCACATGGCACCCGCAGCCTGCGGCACAGCCTCGCTGGGCGTCTTGCAGACCCAGGTGGGAGACTCGGGGACACGCGGCCACCAGCAGCCGGGGCAGGCTCCGTGGGGGCCGCAGCTTTCTCTGCCCCGCACGGAAGGTGCAGGACCAACAAGGATCGCTCCCGGGAGTCATGAAAGAACACAGCAGATTGATCAAAGGCATTAAAGTCGCACCTGGCCTGTGACCAGCAGTAGAGCAGGCGGCAAACAGCTCTCCCTGCGAGAGGCCTGACGCCCACCAGGAGGGGACGAGTGACTGGCAGAAGGCGTTTGAAACGCACCCTGGGCCAGGGCGTGCCTGCTGCACGGGGTGCGGAGCGAGCCCGGGACGTCGCTGTGACGACGCAGGCCGGTGTCTGGGCGTCTGCTCGCAGGGGAGGCCTCGCCGCCCACATCCGTGACTTGGGGGGTGGGGGTGGGGGGGGCCGCTGCCGAGAGGCAGAGCGTTTTCCGTTTGCTCTCTTGGTCTTACGAGTTTCCACATCTACAGTAACGTGTGCTTTTTCTAACTAGAATAATGTCCGAGAAGCTCACTTTCTAACAGGTTTGCCAGGGAACCAGTCGAAGAGGGCGGCTCGGGTCTCCGGACAGCATGGATTCCAGAGACGGCGCTGCTGGCCGGCCCGTGTGCCGAGGCTCCAGCCCCTCCCGAACCGCGCCACGCACCACGCCGAGCTGTGCCCCCAGCGTGAGCCTCAGGGACATCCAGCATTACCCTCGAGCCAGAAGGGCCACCTCCTGGGGCCCCAGGGGGCCGCTGTGTGTGCTCAGTGATCCACCCAGGACACCCCTTCTTATCCCCCGAGGCCCTGTCAGGAGCTGGCGTCGGCCTCTCTGGATGCCACCACATCTCTTTCATGGGGGCTCCTGTCAGTCCCTCCACTGCGGCACAATTGTTCTCGACGCCGCCAGCCGGGCCTCTCTTACGCCCAGGGGGTGGGCACGGGGGGAGGGGGCAGATGGAGGCCGTGCGAGGAGAGCCCCCAGCAGGCCAGCACGACCAGGAAGGGTGCATGGAGAGGCGGGTGGCAGTCGCTGCATCCCTGGGAGACCCTGTCGACCAGGAGGGAGGCGCTCACAGGGCAGTGAGGCCTGGTGCCCCCAGGACGCTGACTGGGAAGAGTGGGCGTGGTCAGGCACAAAGCGGCCCCAGAGCCACCCAGCGAAGAGGATACAAAGAAACCTTTCCCGGGGAGGCCATGGTCAGGAAGGGGCAGTCACAAAGGGCTTGGCGGGGTCACCTGTGCAGGGGAGCCTGAGTGTTGTGGGGACTTGGGCACAGGACCTGAGCCAGGGGAGGGCTGTCTGCCCATGCACGGACAGTGGCCTGGGACTGGTTCATAGGGAGCCCGCCCCACCCCGGGCGAGAGGTGTGGGCGAGGACAGGTGGAACACTCAGCACCCACGTCAGACCAGGGTGGGGCAGAGCGGGGCCCAGAAACGGGGCCTGGGCGATGGTGGGCGTCTGAGGGATGTTCTGAGATGAATCAGCGGGCGGACGGAGAAGCTCATGGGGAGTTTAATGGCATCCTGTTTAGAAACGAGGAGAGTGGGAGTCCCCGGGAGTCTCGCTGGTGCCCCCCAAGGCCAGCTCACGGCCACCACATCCTGTGACAGGGGCTGGCGAGGTCTTCCGCCCCAGCCCGAGCTCTGGCGCCCAGGCTGCGAGGAGCCCACCTGTGTTCAAGGAGAGACGAGCGTCGGGTCCTCAGCAGGTCCTCAGACCCCCCAGGGTCTCTGGGCCCTGGACGGTCCGACACCCCAAACCCAGAGGGCCGGACCAGGGCTGGACAGTGAGCTGGGGGTGCACGAAGCGGGTCACACCGCGCCCCCTCCCACCGCCTGCGCAGGCCCCCGTGAGGCTGACTGGACTCTGTGCCGATGACAGAAACCCAAATAACAGCTGCGGCCCCCTAAACTCCAAGCCCACCCATGAGGCTCCACGGTCACAAGCCACTCCGACCGGACACCGAGGATCGACGCCCAAGCCGGGGACGGGAGTGAGGGTTCTGGACACACACAGAGGGGCTCTCAGGGCCTTTAAATGTAGGTGCTGCCCAGAGCAGAGCCGCGGACATAGGCGCAGTACAGCAGGGCCAGCGCAAAGGACAGTGCGGAGCACAGGGGCGCACCCGCCGCGCTCAAGGGCACCCTCTCCTGCTCCTCCTGCTCCTGCTCCTCCTCCTCGGGGCCACGCTGCGGCTCCCAGGCATCGTCATAGTCCTCCTCCAGCACCAGGTCCCGGGGCACACTGGGCCCCTCGACCTTCTCCCCCATGGGGACAGCTCCGATGTCCTCATAAACGCCTTCCGAAGGCAGATTCTCCAACATTCCAGAACCTGCAAGGGCCACACCAGAACCTCTAGTCCTGAGGCTCCCTCTGTCTACGCCCACGCTGCCCGGCCCCTGTGGGGTCTCTCGGGAGAGCCAGGAGCCTCTGTTCCCCACTGGGGCGCACATCCCCCCCACAAGGGGCACACTTCCCCGAGCACCCAGGACCGGGTGTGCTGGCCCCAGAGCATGGCTCACAGAGCTCCCCAGCAACACAGCTGACAAGGAATGGGCACCCTCAAGGCTGTCCCCGCACCAAGGCATCCCCAGAACTACGAATTCTCTCATCCAGACCCTCTCAGGAGCAGAGCAGGGCAGAGCCCAGGGCCCCCTGTCCCTCGCCAGTCGTGAGTCCGCATGGGACTGAGCACGCAGGGCGGGGACCGGGACAGAGAGGGCCTGCAAAGGGCCAGGGTCTCCCAAGTGCAGCTCTCCCCAGCCCTACAGGGCCCAGGCCACCCTCGCCGGCCTCACCCACCACCTACCCCTGCAGGCTGCTCTGCGGCACCACTGCGCCCCCAGCAGCAGGGAGACGATGCCCAGGAGGGTGCCCAGGATGATGCAGAAGGTCATGGGCAGCGTCCCAGCCTTGAGGGCAGGTAGTGGGGTCAGGTGAGGGCCTGGAGGGACAGTGAGAGGTGGGCCCTGCCTCAGTGCCTGCCTGCATGCCAGGGGGATTGTGACCTGGGGCCTGAACCTCTAGGGAGGGGGAGGGGCCCTGTTCTGTACCCCCAGAGCTGGCCCAAAGGTCAGAGGGCTGAGGGCAAAGGTGAGGGGTACAGCAGGGAGGGGACAATAGGGAACCCACTGCCCTCACTCTGCCTTGGGCAGAGTGTCCGAGAGGCCACAGCGTCCAGGGGCCAAATCCCCTGTTGCCCAGGGAAAGGCCCTGAAGGAGAGACTCGGGGGGACTGGGCCTGCGAACCCTCCTTCGGCTCTGCACCCGGCAGTGTTCCTCCGAGGACGGGTGTCTCCAAGTGGCGGTCCTGCTCTCGCTGGCCTTGGCCCCCCCCTGCACTGGGCTCCAGGGGCCCCTCCATGCCCCCCCTTGCAGGGCTCCTCTGGGTCAGAGCCAGACAGGAACACGTGGACTGGGGCCTGAGGAAGGGCCCACCTACCCGACACTGGTGGCCGGACCGTGGCCCCCCTGTCACCTGCAGGACAAAAGGGCCAAATATTGGGGTGAGGAAAAGAGGCAGCCATCACCCTGAGCAGCCCAGACCCTCGGAGCAGTGTTCCAGCCCCATCAGCCAGAGCCTGTCCCATCATCGGACCCCCATGGGGCAGCCTATGCTCCCCACCCAGAGGGACCCGAGTGAGGCAACCTCAGGGCTGGGCCTGAGGGGGCACCCACAGGGGGCGGGCGCTCCGGAGGAACCCTCCTGATCCCCCCTCCCCAGCCCCCAACAACCCCCTTGCCTCCTGCCCACTCACCAGAGCAGCGCACGCCTGCGTCCTCCTTGTGCCCACAGTCCGCGTGTCCCCAGGGCTCCGCCGGGCAGTCCCACAAGGATGCCTCGCTGCCCCGGCAGCCCACCTCGTCCAGCCACACGGGCCCTGAGCCTGGACCGAAGGCGGCCCCTGCCAGGGCGCTGACGGCCCTGCCGCAGCCCAGCTGGCGACACACGACCTCCGCGTCCGCCAAGTCCCAGGAGTCATCGCACACGGTGCCCCAGGAGGCGGCGAGCCAGAGCTCCACGCGGCCTGAGCATCGGTCCTCGCCCCCGCGCACGCGCACTGTGCCCTCCTCCGGAAAAGGGGGCGTGGCCACCACAGGGCGGGACTGGGAGGCGGAGCTGACAGTGGTCAGAGGCGTACCTGGGCAGCTGTCGGTGGGCGGGCAGTTGAGCGTCTCCCTGGAGTCCTGCGTCGTTTTCTCGGGTGATCCTGGTGGGTTAAGGAGCGGCCGTCTGGAGTGAATGCCCTGAAAATCTTCGGGAGGAAGCTTGTGGAGGCCGAGGGACCCCAGGCCCCCGCCATGGGTCACCCCTGGTGTGTCAGCCCCTCCGGCCCCACCCCCGGCCCACGGGCCCCACCTGAACAGGTGACCCAGGCCTCCTCTCCGCGGGCGCAGGAGTGCGGGTCCCACGGGGCGGAGGGGCACTGCCACAGCGTGGAGCTCCGCAGCCTGCGGCACTCGACGCTGTCCACCCAGGAGACGCCCAGGCCCGCGTGGACGGGCCTGTTCTCCAGCCAGCCCTGGTGCCCACAGCCCAGCTGCTGGCAGACCACGGACAAGGAGGCGTCCCTCAGGGCGTTACTGCACACGGCGCCCCACGAGCCGTTGTAGAACACGTCCAGCCACCCGGCGCAGGGCTGGGCGCCGCCCCGCAGCCTCAGGGCCACCGACCCTGGAAGACAAGCGGGTGGGGCCAGGGGAAGTGTCTGCAGGAGGAGGGGCCGCGGCCGAGACAGAGGCACCCACGGCCCGACCCGGGAGGCCCGGGCACCCCCACAGCAACACAGAAGAATCTATTTGCTAAAATGATCAATTTAGCTCTTGATCAGAACTAAAGGAATTAGCCCACAGCGCCACGTTCAGACCCGGCACCAGCCCAGGCTGGCGGGTGTCCGCCGACTGTCCCGCCCCGTGACCAGCGGGATTCCGAGGGGGGGACGCAGTGCGGAAACGAAAACGCAGCCATCTGCGGAGAGCTAGCCCTTCAGACCTGCGCTCCAAGGGCCTGGGGGACCCCGAAACCGCCTGGACCAGGGTCCACACAGGCGGCTGCGTGTGCAGTGCGTGTGACGGGGCCCCCAAAGCTACAATGAGCCTAGAGAACCCAGGGGCAGGGACGGCTCGTCCCGCTGCATCACGGGGCCCAGAGGACACAGCCGGGCTCTGTCCCGGGCCCTCCACCCCTGGAAGAGCGGGCCCTGGAGACGCGAGTGCTGTGGTGTCACCCCCGCAGACAGCGCGACCACGGGCACCCCCCGCCCCGCGGAGGGACGCGGCTGCGGGGCGGACCTGAGCAGAAGGCGCCGGCGTCCTCCTTGTGCGCGCAGTCGTGCCGGCCCCAGCCCCGCGCGGGGCACTGCCACAGCGCCGCCTCGTGGCCCCCGCAGCCAAGCTCGTCCATCCAGATGCGCCCGGCGCCCGCCCCGAAGTGAGCGGCCCCCGGGGCGCGGAGGGCGTGGCCACAGCCCAGCTGCCGGCAGACCACGTGCGCGTCCCGCAGGTCCCAGCCGTCGTCGCACACCGTGCCCCACTCGCCGGCGTGGAGCACCTCCACGCGCCCCGCACAGCGGCCGGGCCCCGCGACCAGCCGCACCCGGTGGCTCCCTGCGGAGAGAGGCAGTAAGGGCGGACCCAGCCCCGCCCCCCTGGGCGGATGGGGAGACCCGGGGTCCTCACTCACCGGAGCACACGACGCCCACGTCCCGCGAAGCCCCCGAGGACGCCAGCTGGGACGCAGACACGTTGCACTGGGTCAGGCGGGTCTCGGCGCCCAGGCAGCGCACGTGGCTCAGCCCCACCCTGCCGGCCCCTCGGCTCGGCGCGGGCGCGTCATAGGCTCGTTCCGCCTCTCCGCACCCCAGCTGCCTGCACACGACACCCGCGTCCTGCAGGTCCCACGCATCGTCCAGGACGCGGCCCCACACACCGTCCAGAGACACCTCCACGCGGCCATCACAGCGGCTCTGGCCGTCCCTCAGCCGCAGGGCGTGGAGGAGATCTAGGGAGAGGCGGGAGGAGGCGGGGACGGGGCGGGGCGGACTGTGTCTGCGAGAGGACCCCCACCTCCCCCTGAGCCCCGCCCACCCCGCCCCGCCCCTCTGCCCACCCTTCCCCCCACCCACCTGCGCAGACCACGGCGGCAGCATTTCCCGGGGCACAGGCGGGGGCCCCCAGGGTGCTCACTGGGCAATTCCACAGATAGGGCTCCGTCCCAACACAGTGGAACCTGTCGGGCCAGATGGGAGCATCCCCGCGCCCAAAATGGCCTCCTCGAGGAGTGGCCACCACGCCGCCACAATTGAGCTGGTGGCAGAGGACAGTGGCATCTGCCAAGTCCCAGTGGGCGGCACAGAGGGGTGCCCAGGCCCCCTCCACCTGGAGCTCCACGCGCCCCTCACAGCGGCTGCTGCCGTTGACCAGCCGGAACTCTGGGGTGGGGGGAGAGGGCGTCAGGCGGTCTCTGACCCGAAGATCCAGCAGGGGGCGGCTTCCTCCTCTGCCCCGTGTGGTGGCCGCGGAGCCGCAGCCTGGCTCTCGCAGCTGGCCCGCCACCGCAGCTGAGTGCTGGCCCGCATGGCGCAGGTGCAGCGGAGCCCACACTGCACAGGGCCACCTCGCGGGGGCGCACGGTCCTCCAGGGCCGGACTCCCGCCACCCTCTGTGTCCCTTCTTCCCTCAACCCTCAGGAGCGATGCCCCTCACAGAACCCGACCCCCGCCTGCTGGAGGCACCTTGGCGAGCCAGGCCGGAGCCCCCGGGACGAGTCCCAGCGCCCCCTCCATCCTCACCTGAGCACCTGAGCCCGGCGTCCTGGCTGTGCCCGCACTGGTGCCCAGGCCCCCGGAGGCAGTGGAACAACAGGGACTCGTTGCCCACGCAGCGGAAGGCCTCCGTCCACACGGGCCCGGAACCCCGGCCAAAGTGGGCGCCCCGGGGCGTGGACACAGCCGAGCCGCACTGCAGCTCCCGACACACCACGTGGGCCGTGGCCTGGTCCAGGTCGTCGTCACAGACGGTGCCCCAGGTCAGGCCACGCCGCACCTCCAGGCGCCCAGCACAGGGGTGCTCGCCGTCCACCAGCCGGGCCTCAGTGTGTCCTGGGGGAGGAGACACGTTCTCAGTGAGGGGCAGCTGCCCTCGGGTCCACGGCTCAGGAGCCGCCGGGTCCCACAGGAGGCTCTGCGTCCAGGCAGCCAGTCTGCCGAGCACTGGCCTGCGTGCAGAACAGAGCGGGTGGGGGGAGGGGGTCCCTGGCTGCTTCCCGGGACCGGAGGTGAGGGCCACCTGCTGCATTTCCTCTGAAGCGGCAGGCAGCACCGGTGTCCCCCCCCGCCCCGTGCCGGCAAGGAGGAGGGGCAGGCGGGCAGGGAGGCGGCCTCACCTGAGCACACCACCTCCCTGTCCTGCTGGAAGTCGCAGCCGCTGCGGAGCCGGCTGTTGAGCCGGCAGTTTCGGATGGTCGGCTCGGTGCCCTCGCACGTCATGTACTTCCTGCCGCCGCCCGCGTCATGGCGGGAAGCCTGCAGCGCAGGGCCGCAGCCCAGCTCCCGGCAGAACACGGTAGCCTCCTCCTCGTGCAGGCCGCAGAGGCGGTCCACGCTGTTCGCGTTCCTGATCTCGGGGAGCCCCGAGCAGGGGCTCCGGCCCTTCACCAGCCGGATCTCCCGAAAAGTTCCGTCTGCAAAGCGCAGGCCACACTCAGAGGGCGCCCCCTGCTGGCCCCTCAGTCACCTGGAGGCTGCGGCCTGCGCCACGGCCGGACACTTCCGTGCAGGCCTAGCAGCTCCCTCCAGGCCCCCACCTGGGACCCGGGCTCACAGCCCCAGGGGCAGGCCCTGCTCCTCCCTCCATGCACCTGCACCGGCCAGAGGGCGCCTGCTCCGAGGATGGGGCGGCTTTCTGACCCAGCATCACGAAGGGCCCCTGGCTCAAAGGGCCCCGCTCAGAGGGCCCCTGCCTGTACTGTTAGGCTCTTGACAACTTTATCGTTTTCGAAGAGGGACACCTGCCCCTCAACACCCCAAGCAGAGGGCCCACTTCAGAGGCAGGCGCTATGAGGGGCCTCGGGAGCTCTCGGCCACCTAAGGGCCCACAGAGAGCTGAAGACCCTCAAGACAGACCTCCCTGTCACTTGAGTAACAAATCCTGATTGGATACCCACAGTGGCCCCTCAAGCCTCCTCAAGTGTCCAAAAGACCAGGGGGTCCCCACCCCAGCCCTCTGTCCACTTTCCGCTCCTCCTCACTTCAGCGGCTGCTCTGCTGCTGTGTTTGTCACTCTGTCTGTCCCTGGGGAGCCCGGCTCTGCACAGCAGCATTTGCCGGGTCCTCACAGCCGCTCCCCCAGCCCCAGCACGGCACCTCACGAGGACACGAGTGCTGGACGACTAAGGGAGGGCCCCTGGCACAGGAGGAAGGAGCAGCGACGAGAGACTGCACCGTCCCAGGGGTCAGGCCGGCTCCTGTGGCCGGAAGGAGCCCACCCACAGAGCCCACAGGCCTGCCCCCCCCCTGCCCCCACCCCTGCGCTGACTTACTCGAGCACAGCACGACCACCATCCACTCATGGGGGCAGGGGCTGCGCGTCCACGCCCCGAGGCTGCACTCCCACAGCGAGGACTCGCCGCCCCTGCAGGACACGTTGTGGAGCACGGCCGGCTCCCTCTCTCCGGGCAGCGGGACATACTTGGGGGCGCCCACGGCCCGGCCGCAGCCCAGCTGCCTGCAGACCACGGATGCCTCCGCCAGCGTCCACTCCCGGTTGCACACGTGTCCCCACTGGCCCTCATGTTGGACCAGCACCACGCCATCACACGGGCTGTGTCTGTTTGCCAGCCTCAGGTTGTCCGGCCCACCTGCGGGGGGACCCCCGGCCTCAGAGGGGCGGCACAGTCCAGCGCCGGTGGGGGGAGGTGGGGCCAGAGCTGCACGGTGACGGCCTCTGCATGCGTCCGGGGCCAACCCCAAGGCCATGGGAGCGCCCCCCAGCCCTGCCCTGTCCAGGCCTCTGATGCCTGCCCATCGCCCCCTCAGCCCCTGTCACCGCCCCACCCCCCCTACCCCCATCTCATCGCAGCCCCTTGACCCTCCCGCCTGGAGCCCCAGGCCTGAGCTGCTGCAGGAAAAGAAAACAGCCGTCCGGGGACGGCCATGTGGGTGGGCCAGGTCACCCCAGGCCTTGCACCTCAGCACCCCCCAGGGTTGCCCTCCACTCACCTGCCCCCTCACACAGCCCAGGACCCCCGCAGCCAGCCCACCCACCGTGGATCGGGGTTGCTGGGACAGATGCAGCCATGGCCCCTCAGGGCATCCAGCCTCTCGCCCAGCGCACCCCCAGGCTCCGAGCCCTGGGGTGGGGGCCCTGCTCAGGGCTGGGACAGGAATCTCTTGCACTTCGGACGCCCCAGGACGCCCCACCCACGTCTGGGATGAGTGAGGCCCAGGCATCAGGTCACCCCTCAGGGTCTGGGCAGCTACAGAGCCAATGCTTCCAGAAGGTTCAGCAGATGGAGGAAGAAACTTACCGATGGGGACCGCCCAGAGAGTGAGGAGAAGGGGCCCAACTCCCAAGGCCCAGAGAGCCGCCCTCATGGCCCCTCGGCCCTGGGGCCTCAGCCGGCACCTGCCGCTCAGCTGGGGCAACGGTGGGGGTGGCAGCCGGAGTCCAACCCGCAGAAGCAGAAGCTGCGCACGGCCTCCCGGGACCAGAGGAGACGCGGGAGCCTCTGCAGAGCGCACCAGGGGCCCCGCTCTCATCTGCGAGCAGTGCAGCCAATGGGCTCCACCGCCCAAGCGCTGCTCAGCTCAGCTCAGCGCGCAGGGCCCCCGGAATGGGGTTTCCGCTCAGGCTGACGAACTGCTGACAGGGCTGCCCCCTCAGAGCCTCGAGCAGGCGGGTGGGCTGACCTGCCCTCTGAGGCGGCAGCCCCGAAACCCAGCCGAGCCCGGCCGGCCCACCCTCGAGGGCACGCGCTCGATCCCTGGTCAGGGCGCGTTCGGGAATCAGACACCAAACACGTGAACACGAGGAAAACAAGGGGATGCTCTCTCTCTCTCTCCCCCTTCCTCTCTCTCTCTGCAAAAAGTAAAGGTAAATGAATGCCAGGCCTAGTGGCCTTTGCCCCCCAGTGCAGACAGTGACAGAGTGACACCAGACACCCTGCAGGCCAGCAGGGCCTGAGCGGGGCCTGCAGCTCTGGGAGAGCGAGACAGGCCGGGACAGTACCGCACAGGCTGCGAAAACTCAGCTGTCACTGGACCCAGAGTGCTCAGAAGGCCGACACCTATGCCCTCGGCGGCCGAAACAGGCGGCCACCTGCTGGAACAGAACATGCGAGGAGAATCCAGTCTCCTGACGTCCTCTCTCCCGTCACACGAAGCTGATCCATTGGAGCTGACCATGAACTCGGCGGTCGAGACAACGGTGCCGCCGCCGGGACTCACAGACGCCTTTTAGAGCGGCGTCCACCGAGTTTTCCCCGCAGACGGCAGAGGCTTCTGAAGCCAGTGGAAGAAAGAGAGAAGTGCAGCAAATACACAGAGGTCGTGAGGTGAGCCTAGGGCAGGCATGCGGAGACCCCAGGGTCCCCACACGCTGCGGGTGGGGCTGGGGTGCCCTGCACCTGCACTCCTCCTCCTGGGTTCACAGCAAAGAGAAGCAAAAGGCCGTGTCCACACAAAACCTGCTCCTAAGTGTCCGTGGCAGCGTCACCAATCATAACCAAAGAGACAGAAACAGCCTCGACGTTCACCGAGCCATCGACGCACAAACACGCACGGTACGTCCGTGCCGTGGGGTGCCGTCCGCCCCCTGACAGGAACGGTGTCTGGACACAGGTCACGACGGTGTGAGCCTTGACAGCGTCACGCTGAGTGAGAGAAGCCAGACACAGAAGACCACACACATGATTCCTTTTCTGTGAAACGTCCTGAACCGGCAAATCTAAGACACAGGCTGCGGGCTGGCGGTTGCCGGGGCTGGGCGGGGGCAGGCGTGGACAGGGACCGCTAATGAGCACACAGAGTCCTCTGGGGGCGCTGAAATACTCTGGAACTGGCCAGTGGTGGCTGCTGCATAATTCTGAATGTGCAAAAAAACGCTGGATCAAACAGCCATGGAGGATGCATTTGGTGGTACGTGAATCAGCTCAGTAACGCTGTTAGTATTTTTTAAAGAACCACATGGATATCAGGGAACTGAACACACAAAACCTGAAAATGGCTTTAATTCACGGGACAGACTCAGTAGTACAGTGGAAACGGCAAAGATGGCATCAGCAAACCTGAAGACAGACCAACAGAATTTACGTGCTGTGAACACAGGGAAAGTGTGAGAAGCTGACACAGCAGCAGAGGCCCCGGGGACAGCCGTGGAAGGTCTCGTGGTCTGTCACTGGGGCGGAGAAGACAGTGTAGAGCTGAAAAACGTGGGGAAAGAAAAAGATGCCTCAAACTTCCCAGATTTGGTGGAAGACATAAACTTAGAGATTCCGGAAGCTGAGCAGACCCCACGCAGGAGAAACCCAAAGAGATTCACATTGAAACCATCATAATTAAACTTTTGAAAACTAGAAACGAAGGGGAAGAATCCAAAAACAGCCAGAGAACCGTGACGCATCGTTGACACAGGAGAGCCGACCTGCGTGGCTGAGTGCTTGTGGTCTGTGTGCGGGCCGGAGGCCGGAGCGTGGGCTCCAGTGACGGAGAGGGGCGGTGGGAGCCCCAGTCCTGTGTTGGGAAACTGGCCCAGGGAAAGGGAGGGGAACAAAGACACCCTCCACCCTCTGTCGAAGGAGAGCTGAGAGGATTGGTCACTGACAGACACGCCCGAAAAGTAAAGTAGTGGTGGGAGAAAACGCCAGCAGGGAGGTGGGGCCCCCAGAAAGGAGGGGGGCGCTGGCGAGGAGAAAGGGGCAGCCCTGGGCACTGCTGCTGGGAATGCAGGTGGGTGGGTGCAGCCCCTGTGAAAGGCAGTGTAGAGACACCTCAAAAATCACAAATTGAGAAACTGCCTTATGACCCAGCGGTTTCACTTGTGGGGATTTGTCCTAAGATTCCCGAAACACTGACTCAGAAGGATACACGTGCCCCGTGTCCATTGCAGCGTCTTCCACAGTTGCCAAGTGATGGGTGCCCACCGACAGTCGAGGGGATACGGGAGGTGTGGTGCACTGACGCTGGGCTGTAAAAAAGGGTGAAATCTCAACCCTTTCTCAAAAGGGATCTCAAAAAGGACACTGCCTGCACGTGATGGCGACCCTCCCACACAGGGGGTCCCGGGCCCGGGGCCGGCAGAACCAGTGCCGTGCGCAAAGCACACCGATGCCGCCCAGGCTGGCTTGTCTCCAGTGCAAAGTTGGTCTAACATCAGAGAATCAATCACTAATTTTCCACATGAAAATACTAAGGAGAAAAATCATGTTATCAACTGAAGAGATGCAAAGAATTTATATAAATGTCAACACCCAATTACGCTAATGGTCTTTGCAAACTAGAAATGGCAGAGAACTTCCTTAATCTGATAACAAGTATCATCAAAGCCTCACCCACAGCAAACGTCCTACTTTCTGACACCGGAAACAGCCCAGAACCCACTCTCACCGGGATGAGGCCTGTGGTCTTCACCAGGACGGCGAGCCAGGAGCGGTGAGGTTGGAGGGCCCCACCACCCACGGACAGTGCCCCTGGGAGTGAAAAAAGTCCAGAAGAATCTACCTCGAAGTTAGTAAAAATTCGTAAGAACGTTTAGCGAGCTTACAGGACACAGTCAATAAACAAGAGTCACTTGTTTTTCTGCACACAGGCACTAAACAGAAAATGAATTCTTTTAAATAGCTAGTTATTTAAAAGGCAACAAAAATATGTGCTTAGGAATAACGTAACAAAAGCTGTGGAAGATCTCCATGCACAGAACCGAGAGGCACTGGCGGAAGGCTCAGTGGACGGGAATGCACCGCGTTCATGGGCTGCAAGCCTCCACGGGCAGAGCTGGGAGCTGCTGGGGGAGGGGCCGGGGCCTGACACTGCGATTCTCAGGTTCTCACGGAAACGCAGTGGGGGGGACAGCCGTCCACGTCCACACAACAGGACCGAGAGCCCCACACGGGTTAACAGGACATGTGGCCGAAGCGTGCTGGCTGGGAGTGTGGGATGGAAGGATGGCAGGGACCACGTCACAGGTCACAGGAGTCTGGGGGAGTCCTGCCCAGTGGGTGCGAGCAGGGGTCAAGAGGCAGGGATGCTGGCTGCCGAGGGGAAGAGAGCGTGGGGGTTCCTCCCCTTGTTCACAGGACAGGGGGCTGGAGCCAGTTTCCAGGCTGACGTTAGAAGCCGGGAGAAGGAGATGGGGCAGGGGAAGGGTCCTCAGGGTGGGGGGAGGAGGCCGGCCCTGCTGCTGGGCAGGAGGCCCCCCAGGGAGGTGCATAAAGATAAGGTCACTGCAGAAAAGGCAGGAAGTGGTGCGCCAACCCTGGCTTGTGTTCCAAGAAAGGTTGCAGCTCAGGGAGCCTGTGGGGAGGCCGGCGGGGGGGCCTGCTGCAGGGCGGAGGTGGGGGCTCCGCAGGTGCTGGGGGCACCGTCACTACGGGGGGCAGGGTGGTGGGCCCAGGTCTTGGGCGCTCACGGAGGTGACAGGGGTCCCGTGGGGTTGACTTGGAAATGGCAGGACCTTCATCTCCACGCCTGGACCTGGAAGGGGAGCTGAGGCAATGGGGGCTGGGTCGGGGTGGGGGGCTGAGGTGGCTGGGGAGCAGGGCCCCAGAAGCAGGAGGCCAGGGAGCCAGCACCTCTGTCAGCGGGGCTATCCACGGAAGCTGGGGTCCCAGGAAGAACATCAACCACGCGACAGAGTCGTCGACAGAAGGGGGGACTTCTGAGACTTCAGCAGCCTGAGACGCACAATGCCCAGACACAGCCTGGGGAGGGCCACGGCCAGCACACAGGGCCACAGGGCCGGGCTCCTGGGCCGCAGGGCTGGGGAGACTGGCCGAGAGCTGCGTCCCCTCGAAGGTTCTGGCCGCCCCTCTGCAGGCTTCCTGGTGGGCACAGCAAGTGAGGCCATAGCAAGTGCGGCCACGGCCGTGGACAGCGGCCCGGGCCAGCCTCGTGCAGCCTGTAGGCACCATTGGAACTGAGTGGGGTGGCCCTGCCCTTCGCAGGGAAACGCCAGAGACCAGGATATCAGGAGGCTGCACCCGGGCCCCTGACACGACTGCGTGCGGGAAACTAACGGTGTCCTTTGAGCTGAACCCCGAAGTGAATCTGTCGTCCTCACTAATCGGGTTCCTCCTCACCACCCTCCCCCGAGAGGCTGCTCAGCCTCCGCGGCTCCCCGCCCCCATCTTTTTGACGGGCCCCGGGGAAGGTGCACCTGCGTCTCCCAGCACTTAAAACTCACAGGGTGGGGGACGTGGGGAGTAATGACACAGCTCTAGGTTATTGCTGAGGCGGCCCTGCCCGCCAGAGAGGGCCGGGAGCCACCCTGCCAAGAGCCTGGTGACAGGCTTTGTCCCACTGGGCCTCCCACAGCTGCACCCCCCTGGAGGGCCGCTGCTCCAGTCACTCCTCACCATCCACACCGTGACCGTCCTGGAGAACCTGGTCACCATGGTGACCGCCCGAGCCAGCTTCTTCCCGGCCAGCTTGTCGGGTCTGACTCTCTGCACCTCAGTCACCGTCCGCAAGCCGCTGGCTGACCTCAGGCACCGGCCGCGACTGGCCCCTCCTCCGCAGTCCTCACCCAGCTGCTCTCTTGCTCCTGCCCGGCTGCTCCAAGGGCTTCCCCCTGGCTCCCGCTCCCCCTCCCCCACTGGCCAGCATGGCCTGAGACCAGTGCCTGGCCACCTGTTGCCCTGTATTACCTGGCCATCACAGCCTCACGACTCTGCCTGCATCTGGCCCTCGGTGCCCGGGTCGGCGGCTTCCCGGCCTCCTTCCCGTCCACGGCTCTCATCTCCTGCCTCAGGTTCCCGCCGCACTGCCCCCGCCCCCATCAGGGGGCCACCCTCGGGTTCTGGTGGGCACCCTCCTCCCACCTTCTAACCCAGAAATGGATGACTATCTCCCGTGGGCCCCTCCGCTCCCCTTGCTCATTTCTTTCCTGTGGTTCCCATCAGGTCTCAGAAGAGAAAGGGGCTGGGGGTGCCTACAGCCAGCAGCCCTCACTGGCCAGGGGCTCAAAGCCCAGTCGTCCCGCTGCCCCCCAAGCAGGCTGAGATGCAAGCAGTATCCTCACCCATCCTCAACAGTAGTTACAATCTAGAAGAATAAGCATGGTTTTATTCCCACAGTGCTTCCTTCTGAATCATCCGGGAAGCTGGAAGACATTTATTAGAGGTGAGTACGAATTCGCCCACTCTTCACACGCTGGCTGGGCACTCCCATGTGGCCAGTGGAGCTCTGGGAAGGTCTTGCAGGCAGGCAGGCAGGTGCCACAGCAGAGGCGTCTGGCCAGGAGGTGCCTCTAGCCCGGATGGCCTTTGAAACCAGAGAAAGAGACGTCTCTGACCCTTTGGGGCCAGGAGGAAGGAGGTCCCGGTGCCCGCTCCTGAAGCCCCAGGCCCAGCGGCTGGGCTGGAACCCTGCTGTCCAAGGTGGGACTGGACGGGCCCCCCACAACAAGACAGCACAGTCCCAGAAGTGTCCTGGGCCCCCCCAGGCGGCGGCTGAGGAGGCCTGCTGGCTTGGGCAGCTGGTTACAGGCGGCCTTGCCACGGAGGGGCCACGTCCCCTTCCCCAGACCTGGGCGGCAGGGGCGGCCTTGCAGCCACCGCTGGGGCTGCACCGCAGGACCTGGAGCTGGGGGTGCGCAAACTCCACAGTCCCTGGCCCCCGGACATCCCCCGGGGCAGAGAGGAAGATGAGGAATGTGGGGAGGGGGACAGCTGGGGGTGAAGTGAGGACAGGTGCGGGCACAGGGCCCGGCCTTCACTGCGGATGGAGACCTACGGCGATGGCAGACCCCCTGGGGGCTGCTGAGCGCGAGCGGGGCGGGTGGGAGGGCGGGCGCGGGCTGGAAGGTGGTAGCGCTGGGAAGGGAACGGGGCCGCGAGCTCCTGGAACTGCCTTTGTCTCCTCCCTTCCCGCTCCGGAGGGACGAGCCTCTGTGTCTGCCCGCCCCCCATGCTAGGGCGGAGGCCTCGCGCGGATCCCGGCTGCACGGCTCCGCGCTCGGGCGGAGGGTCTCCGCCACAGCCGCCGTCTTTTCGCTCGGCTGCAGACCTTGGAGCAGCCCTCCGGCCCGCGGTTCGGACCAAGGCCGGTGGAGGGTAAGGCCGGGCGGCGGGATCCAGGCACGGGCCCGGGGCCGGGGATGGAGACGCCGCGAGGGGCTCGGAGGGACCGGGAGGGTCCAGCGGCGGCCCGGATCTCTCGCCGCTCCTGAAGCGGGGCCTGCGTCCCGGCTGGTCCCTGTCTCCCGTCCCAGTAGGGGGCAGGGTTATCGGGGGAAGGCGGACCTCAGGGCCGGGGTCGGATCCGGACCGTCCCCGAGGCCCCCGCTCGCGGGGGCGGAGTCTGCACCGTGTCCCCAGGCACGCGCTCTCCGGCGTTCTGGCCCCGCGCCCGGCACGTGCCACCCGGAAGGGCCGGGCGGAGGCTCGCGCGGTCCTTTCTCTGGATCCGGATCTGGGCCTTTGGGGGCCCTCGGCCCCTGAGACTACGGCCTCCGAACGCAACCCCCACCCCAGGGCGGGTGCGCGGGTCCTCCCAGAGCCGCCCAGGGCGGGGAGCCCCCCCCCCCCCCCGCCACAAAGAGCTCCCCTCCCGGGCGCTGAGCCTCTCGCCCCCACCTGCCCCTTCCCAGTTACTGAACAGGACCCCCGCCCCAGGGCCGAGTCCGCAGTCCGCGGGCCTTCACACCCCTCACGCAGCCCGCTCAGCCGTGGGGGAGGGCGGGGGATCCTCTCACGGACAGAAGCCCAGCCCCGGGCCCTCCGCCGGGTCCCTGTCCCCAAGCGCAGCGCCCCGGGGCCTCGGAGCTCAGGCCCTTTCCTCTGTCCTCCCCCAGGTTTTGCCCCGCGAACATGAACTGGATGGCAGCCACCTGCTGGGCTCTGCTGCTGGCTGCCACCTTCCTGTGCGACAGCGGCGAGACCAAGGGCGGCCGCGGAGGGGCTCGTGGCAGCGCCCGGGGAGGGCTGCGCGGGGGCGCGCGCGGGGCCCCCAGGGCGCGCGTGAGGCCAGCGCCCCGCTACTCGGGCTCCTCCCTGCGCATGGGGGCAGCGGGGGCGGCGGCTGGGGCCGCAGCGGGCCTGGCTGCAGGTTCGGCCGGGAGGAGGGTCCTGGGGCCCTGGGAGGGCGGCCTGGAGGACGAGGACGCGGCACCCGAAGGCAACAGGACCGGCGTCTACAGCTACCGGGCCTGGACATCGGGCGTGCGGCCCGCGTGCGGCCTGCACCTCTGCCTGCTGCTTGGCGGCGCCCTCAGCGCCCTGGGGCTGCTGCAGCCCTAGGCCCAGCCGGGCTCGGGGCAGATCGGCCCCCGGCCCGCCGGTGCAGTCCCCGAGCACTGAGAGGCTCCCTGAGTGGTGCTGCCAGGCCCAGCAGGCGAGGCCACCTCCTGTTCACTGTCCTGCTCAAGCCGCCCCCCCAGCCTCCGCACTCCCACCTGACCCGGGGCCCAGGGGCCCATCAGGCCCAGGACGCCCACTGAACACTCACGGTCAGGGTCCCCCCGGCCAGAAAGGCAGTGAGTGCCCCGTGGTCCCTGTGCCGCCCCGGCCAGCGGGCTCCCAGGTCTCCAGGGCTTCCCCAGAGACAGGTGCCAAGACCAGGTGGTTCGGGCCACTCTGTCTCTTCTGAACGCACCCTGGACACGTGGGTGGAGACGGTGCTGACCACTGGACAGAGGCACAGCCTGAGGACTGTGGTGGCCTCCCCCACAGAAGCTGCCAGAATGGACCCCGAGGCACTGAGGATCTGGGGGAAGGAGAGGTTTTGCTCACAGCTGCCGCGTGGAGAATGTCTGGTGCCGACTGCGTCTGTGGACCTCAGAGCCCAGAGACACGGCCCAGCTGTGGCTCTGAGGCCGGTTTCCCAGGAACGCACCCCTGCCCCGGCCTCTGCTGTGACCCCCTCCGAACAGACGCTCCGTGGGACCCACTGCCATGACTGCCTGGGAGCCGCCGCGCTCTGCCTCGAAACAGGCCACTCAGCTCTTCTTGGGACCCACCTGGGAAAACCAACGTTCCGTCTGAGCTGCGCGTTTTCATTCCAGAGCCCTGGCCTTCGCTCCACGCTGCAACTGCCGCTCCCACTGAGGGGCCCCCCATCCCGGCCCACCGGCCGTGGTCCTGGCAGACGGGCAGCAGCACCCCAGTGGGCAGCGCCCTGCGGGAGGCGAGGCTGTGCTGTGCACGGAGGAGGCTGGGAGCCTGGCCGGACCCAGGACCCACATGGCCGCACGCAGGTGGCTGGAAGAAGGCACAGGCGATGGGCCCAGCACCCGGCACACGTGGGGCCGTGAGAGCCTCGCCTGGCAGGAGGAAGCACCAGGGGCGGAGCCCCTCCGACACCACCGGGGTGTCTGAACACCACGAGGGCCTGGACCGGGACCAACACCTCCGGGGTACACAGGGTTTGCCTATGGCACCCCACACCCCCACCTACGGGCCAGCCCTCAGCCTCCTGGGCAGCCAGCGGCCCACCTCCCTCGGCCTGCTGGGGGCTCGGCTCCTCACCACACCCTCTGGCTCCCATTCGGCCGTGCCCCGCGGCAGGGCAGCTCCCCAGGCCTGGCCCCTTGGGACTCCACCTCCCTGGTGCTCGGCAGGAACCTCCCAGAACGCACCCTCACTCCCCGGACCACAGGGCCTCTGGACTCGGCTGACGGGCAGCAGGGCTGAGATCCGCTCCTGCTGGGAGCCTGCCCTCTGCGCTCCCTCGGGGGCGCTGGACCAGGGAGGGTCTCCCCAGGCTCCCGAAGGCCTCTGGACCGGTGCCTTCCTCCTGAGACGGGAGCACTGAGCCGAAGGGCGAGCCCCCGGCAGCCTCCTGTGTCCACACTGCCCGTGTTCTCGGGGTGCAGAGAGCCCCGCTGCCTCGCCCCGTCTGTCCCGGGTGACGTTCGATGTTACCAAGGGCAGTGAGTGTGGCCACACCCGCCCAGGGCCGCAGAGGCAGTGTGACCCCCTGCCTCTCTGTTTGCAGGTGGCAGGGGCGTCGAGTCCCGCACAGGGAGGCCCGTGAGCCCAGCCTGGCTGCGCTCGGCCACTCGGATGCCCCGCCTCGCCGTGACCAGGTGTGTGGCCCAGCCACTGGCCTGCTCTAGGGATGAGGGGACACCACCTTCGCCAAGAGTTCATGTCACCCCTGACTCTGGGTACACAGCTGATGTGTGGCACAGCCCTGAACCTGAGTCCCGCCCCCACCCCCACCGTCCACCACCCGCCGGTGCTCAGGGTTCTGACAGGAGGCAGAGGGTGCTCAGGGCAGGTCACCTCAGGAAGGTCAGTTCGTGGGGGTGGGGAAGCCACACGGCAGCAGGACCTAGAGGGACGCCTGCAGGAAGGAGGTCGCAGGGGGCTCTGGGACGGTCAGGCCACCTCCAGACACAGCAGCCGGGCTAATGGCCAGGGGAAGCCCCCACCCCGCCCTTCCCCTGCCCCCTGGGCCCCCTCAGGAGCAATGACAAGTGCCGGGAGGGGCCTCCGGGAAGTGCCACTGTCCCACTAGCTAGAAGGTGCTCAGAAGCAGCGGGAGCCCCGGGTCCCCGCTGACCACACCAGAGGCCCTCCCGGCCAGCACACGGCACCGAGGAGACAGGCCAGACTCGGCCCCGTTCACGTGTGTGTGTGTGTGTGTGTGTGTGTGTGTGTGTGTGTTTCAGTGGTGCTGGGAAATAAACACTCTGCTGGCAATGACGACGGCTCCTCATTCCAGGACCCAGGGCACTGCAGCCCTTGGCCGCTGACCCGGCCCCACACAGCAGCCCAGGGGCTGCGGACGCACGGCGGGCGGGGTGACAGCAGACAGGCTTTGGGTCTCACACGTTTAATGTACAGATCACACTCCTCCCAGGACAGCGCCAGCTCCTCCGAGCGCGACGGTGAGCTCAGGCGAGTGTCCTCGCCGGGCCAGGCTCACGGGGCTGACGCCCTCGCCCCATGCACCGTCCCCTGGAAGCAACAGCTGCCTGGCTGTGCAGTGGGGGTGGGGGGGTGGGGGGGGGGGGGGGGGATCCTGCAGCGGAGGCTTGAGTGCGCAGTGGCCGGCCGCAGCTTCTGGCCGAGGGGGCCCTGAGCGCCAGGCCCGGACGTGACGGTCTGGGACGCCCGGCGTCTCGGGGCCGAGGGCCGGGGGGGTCTACGGCGGGGCGCTCTGCAGGAGGTCCCGGTCCAGCATCACGGGGCCCAGCAGCCCGCTGCGGAAGGCCCGCAGGAAGTCGTGGGCAGCGGCGGTGTAGTTCGGCTGGATGACGTTCACGTTCCCTGGGGGGACCGGGGTCTGGTGGGGGAGGAGCCTCCACGCAGGGCGGGGCCGGACCCCGTCCCACCCGCCCTCTGAGACAGGGGCTCTGGGGCGGGCGTCTGTGGAGCTCGGGCCCCGGGGTCTCCTCGGAAGGAAGATGGAGCGAGCCCCCCGAGGCTGCAGAGGAGGGTGGACACACGGTGCGCCCAGCACCGCCCAGGCCACAGTTGGGGGGCTGGACAAGGGCCGCTCCCCGTGCAGAACCTTGGCTCTGGGGGGGGGGGGGGCGTGTCCCAGTGACACCCGCCCCAAAGGCCAGGCCGCGCAGGGCCCGAGCCTCACCTGTGCCCGTCAGCACCTTCACCTTCTGCGTCTTCCCCAGCCGCACGGCCACGCGTTTCAGCAGGCTCCCCACGTTGTCGCAGGCCCCGCCCAGGCCGTAGTGCTGCACGTACCTGCACGGGAGCCGTCAGCCAGCAGGAGCCGGGCCGGCCTGCGAGGCCCCACCTGGCCCCACAGAGGCCCCCGTGGGTGCGAGTGACCCCAGTGTGTGGTGGGGACTGGACCCCGAGGGCCCGCCGTGGAGTTGCTGACCTCTGACCTCCTGGGTGGCCGTGGCCAGCTCCCCCACTGGAGCCCTCGGTGGCAAAGAAACGACCGTTCTCGGCTGTCGTCCACCCCACGCAGAGCAGCCCGGGGTCGGCGCAGCGGGCCACTCCACAGGCAGGCCGCACCGGGGGCTCGAGCAGCCACGCCGGCCACGGTGAAGCTCAAAGTGCCGCCAGCACGGCAAGAGGACGCTCGGAGACCCAGACCAGAACTCGGACCCGTGAGGAGCCCCGCCAGACGCCAGGGTCGGCAGCAAAGACGTCGGACCAGCCGCGCTGACCACAGCGCACGCGCTCGCAGAGCGGGGACGCCCGAGGCACAGAAGGCGACGCCCACGGGACTCACACAGAGGGCTCCACGGAACACGCCGGGCGGGGCTGACCGACACGTGGCCACTGCCCTCCTGAGCGGGCAGAATAACTCCGGAGAATCGAAGGCCGCGAACCTGATGGGAGCCCAGCAGCGGCAGGCAGCCATGAACTCACGGCTGAGAAGAGCGCACCGGGCCCGCCGTCCCGACTGCCCAGGAGGGTGAACGGAGAAAACCTAACAGCGGACACACACCCGGCTGCAGATTCTCCCAGACGGGGGGGGGGGGCGGGGGCAGGATGAGGCAAATGCCTCCCCAGGATGGGAAGAACTGCCACTCAGGGCTCCGTGCACAGGGCAGAGTCCCTCGGGAACAAAGGCAGAGACAGTCGCCCTCAGACAACTCAACTCGGAAAGAACCGGCAGCGTCACACCGAACGCCAGAGGAGACGCCGGCGGAAGCAGCAGCCACCGAGGGGCAGGGCCACGCACAGCAGAGCAGCGGGCCTTTCACATCCGTGTGAGCCGCAGCGGCCACCGTGCGCCTGGGTTCGCAGCCACGCGGAAGCCAGGCCCAGGCCGACGGCCTCCCGGAGGTCAGGACGGAACCAGGAGCAGACTCGTGAGGCAGTCTCGCTGCCCACAGCGTGTTACGGCATCACTCAGAGGGTCTGGGAACCGCAAGACACCTGCTCCAAATAAAGTGAGGTCACAAAATGTGGCCAACGAGCCTTAAAAAAACAGCCACGGACAGACAGACAGACAGAGACCCAGAGAGAGGGGGCGAGAGAGAGAGAGACCCATGGGGTTTGGAATGAAGACACAAATGAGCTCCAAGGGAGGGCCCCAGCTACAGTGGCGAGGCTGGCACCCGACCGGCGGCCGTCAGGACAGAGAACTCTCTGAAGGGTACACGAGGTCACGTCGGTGACACACGCATCGGATCGGTGAGAGGACATCACCGCGGGAAGGTCTCTGCACTGACGGCGGAGCAAAAGCTGGTGCGCTGCTCGGAAACCAGACGCACCAGGCGTCGCCAGAGACGCCAGGGCCCTCTCAAGAGCTGGTCGTGACGCAGGACACCAGCAAAGCAGAAACGGGGCAATGACGAAGGAACAGTACTCAGTGAGACTCTGAAACTCAGAAGACGAGACACAAAGCCACCGAGACCACAGCTGGTTCTCTGGGGAACATCAGTAAAAGTGACCGCTGTCCTGGAGGGGACGGAGGAGGGGTGTGCGTCCCACTCAGAGGTGACAACAAGCAACTGAGTCTGCGCAGGGCGCTGCTGCCCGGCAGTGACCCGGGGCGCCCCCACGGACACGCCCCCACGGACACGCCCCCACGGACACGCCCCCACGGACACGACACCGCGCACGTCGGGAACAAGCAACACGCGGTGCGGCCCTGTCCGGGGAAATCCCAGGAAGGGACCGAAGGCAGACAGGCCCGGGGTGCGGGTGGGGCAGAGGGTGTGCGAAGCAGCTTCACAGACGCATTCGCGCGTGGAAACGAATCACACGACGCACAGACTGTTGTCTGCCGCACCCTAGCCGTGCCCCTTCTTGAACTACGTCGGAGAGGAGAGGCCCCCGCCGCACTCACCCAAACAGCTGGTGCCTGTTGAGGGTGTAGAGAAGGTAGTCAGCCAGGGTCTCCTCCCCGACCAGGTGGTCCCGCACGGTTCCTGGAAGCAGGCCGCCGAGGGTCTCAGCTGGAGGCTGCAAGGGGCGGCCGTGCCCCCAGCCTGACCACTCTGCCTGTCCGTACAGAGAGGGCACTAAGGGTCACGGTGCCAGGCCCCAGGTGGGGCCCCGAGGGCAGCTCACCACACAGGGCCAGCTTTAGGCCCGTCTCCACGCTCTCGATCCGAGGGGCCAGCACCCCGGGGGTGTCCAGCAGGAACATCAGCGGCCGCTCACACACCTGTGGGCGGAGGGCAGGGCTCACCCTCAGGAAGCCTCCAGCACCCTCTCCCGCCAGGCCTCCTGCCAGGTGGCCCCCCCACAGGAGACACGGGAGGGCTTCGCCACCGCCCCATCTTCCCCACCCAGGAGGAAGGGGACACGCGGGGACGCTGAGCTGTGGCTGAGACGAGAAGCGCCATGTAGCCCTGGCCTGACCGCTGTGTGACCTTGGGCTCCCATGTGCCTGTTTGCTCAACTGAAAACGGGAACAAGCGTGCCCCTCCACACACAGGTCTGGTGAGGCTGGTGCAGGGCCTGGTGCAGGGCAAGGGTCCCGTGGGAACGGAGACGGAGGGGAAGGACAGGGCGGGCACGGCTCGTCTGTGCGTGCGGAGCCCTGGGCCCAGCAGCCGAGGCCCTACCTGAATTCTGGACATGACAGCTCTCGTGATCCCAGGCTCACCGCCCACCCTGGTGGCTTTTCCTGCAGGACAGAAAGAGGCTGTCAAACACGCACCACACACGCCTGGCACGGCAGGCGCAGAATACGCAGTGAGGCGGGCGGAACCCTGCCAGCAAAGTCCCGGACGGGCTGTGTGCAGGGCTCGGCCCCAGGTCGGCTCACAGCCAGGGCCCCGAGTCTGCCCGCCCCCCGTCCCCCCTGCCACTGGAAGGCACCCCGACGCCCACTGGAGACAAGACCAGAGGGCCCTGACCCGGAAGGTCGGGCCACAGCTGCCCCTCCCAGCAGCCACCTGTCTCCCTGCTGGACGGGACCCTGTGCGCCCTGGCCGAGCCTCCAGCCTACGCCTCTGCCCCATGGCTCCGCCCAGGGCAGGCCTGTCTGGGGGCTGCCCGGACCCAGGGGTCAGCCTGTGCTCTGAACACCGGCTGCCCAAGATGTGCCCCAAGCAGGCTCTGCACCATGGAGCCAACTGGAGCGCAGAGGGACTCGTGTCCACTGGGGGACGGACAGGGGCACATGTGGTCCACCCACACGACGCAACGTGTTCAGCCGTCAAAGGAGTGAGGTTCTGACTCCTGCCACGGCGTGGGCGGACCTGGAGGACTCTGTGCCTGGTGACACAGCCCGTCCCAGAGGGACAGATGCCCATGACCCCGCTCACGGGAGCTGCTGCGCTCACAGGTGCAGAGACAGGAAGGACATTCTGGGTCATCAGGGCTGGGGCAGAGGGGCTGCTGAGTCACGCACCTTTAATGCCACCACCCTCCCTAAGCCGCAGGGAAAGAATAATAAACTTTAAAAAGTAGACGGCAGTGACCGCGTCCCAGGGAGCGTGGGGCTGTGTCCGGGGAACAACATTAATGAGGACCACGGGCAGGTGTGGGGGTGACGCCTGCACAGACGTGCTTTACACTTTGGAACACTCCACAGAACAGGGACGGACACAGGGGAGAGGGCTGTGGGCACTCCCACGTGCCTCGTGATCAGAGAACCAGGTGGGGCATGGGGACACCCGGGGCCCCCAGGGGTGACCCCCACAGGCTGCCACGCCAGGGGGCGCTCCTGCCTGCCACCAGACTCCATCGTCTGCAAGGCTGTGGGTGCAGTAGGTGAACAACTTAAATAAACGAAAAGGCAAAATCGCCAAGGTTTAGAAAGGCCATGTGCACAAGGAGCAGAGAGAGAACAGGTTCCGTACAGAGTGTCACCGGGAGGACTGTCTCACGGTGCAGCCGAGCCTCAGGCTGCCAGCTGGGTCCCGCGGTGGCAGGAGACCAGCCCGAGGACAGAGCCCAGGAAGGGCAAGGCCGCAGTACCTTTCCTGAGGTGCTGTCTCCTGATCGAGTTGATGAGTGAGGACTTGCCCACGTTGGGGACGCCGATCACCATGATGCAGAGCTCCACATTCTGCAGGGGAAGAAAAGCCGCCGTCGGGGGCGCCAGACCCCCACCGGGACCCACTGGCCCACACCACGGGACCTGGAGCAGGGGCCAGCTGAGGGGAGAGGCCCCACCCCCACCCCAGCAGCAGAGCCCCGAGGTGCCAGGGCCCGGTCGGGCCCAGGGGTGGAGCAGGCCAGCCTCAGGCTCCTGAGCAGCAGGGGCTGTCCCAGGGCCAGCACCGCCCCAACCAACCTCTCCTCGGTGATAGCGGTAGCTGCTCCGCACCAGCTCCGTGACCGCCGGGATGACCTGCAACAGACACTCACAAGGTGCTCACCTGGGACACGGGTGCCCCTGGGCTCTGTCCGCATCACAGACTGGGACTGCGCTCTGGTGGGGGGGCCCCCGCGCGCCCTGCCTGTGCTGGCCTCCACCAGGAACGAGCGGGAGAGCCCCCCCAGGAGGGTGACAACAACCCCCTCTGACAAAGACGCGTGTCCCCAGTAAAATCTCCAAATCCCACCAGCAAACAGGAGGTTCTGGGCTCTCGGAAGGCCGTCCCCCTCACAGCCCAGCATGCGGTCTGCAGCCCGGCTCCGCGCTCTCACACCCGCGGGCCCTCGGCTCCGGGCGCCGGGACACGCGTGAGCCAGGGACACCCTCGAGTCCTCGGGGGGCCGCCCTGAAGCCCCGCCTCTGGCGAAGGTGTGCAGCGCCTGCGCGTCTCCGAACGCCGTCAGCAGACGCGTCCGGGTGCAGGACAGAAAGGCCCACCTGCTTGATGTTCTCGTCCTTGACACAGTTGGTAAAAATGACATCTTTTAGGCCTTGTCCTTCCAAGTGCTGTATGATTTTCTGAAAGAGATATGTGCATTGCACTTTATTTTTATTTTTATTAGATTTTATTTATTTTAAGAGACAGAAGGGAGGTAGAAACGGAGAGAAACACCAATGTGCAAAAGACACATCGATCGGTTGCCTCTCTCACGCCCTCAACTGGAGACCTGGCCCTGACCGGGAATCGAACCGGCGACCGGTCGGTTCACAGGCCGGCACTCAGTCCATTGAGCCACACCAGCCAGGGCTCCATTTTAAATACCAAATAAAAGCTGGGCTGGTGTGACACTGTGAAGTCCGAGGACCCAAAACTGCCGGTGTACACTTGGGCTCAGAGCCACCGTGGCTGGGGATGAGGGGAAGGACAGGCTCAGGCGCGGCGGACCGGGTGCCGTGGGCAGCACGCACGCACTGTGTGAGGGGCCTGGGGAGGGCGGCCTGGTCCCCGCCGGGGCCCAGGGCAGCTGGCTGCGTGAGGACAGGCGGGAAGGGCCCCGTCTCGGCCGAGGGCTGGGCTCCGTGGGGAGGAGCCTCAGCACACACAGACTGCCGTCTGGGGACTGCAGGCCCCCTAATAACATGCGGCCAGACTGAGTGGTTCTGAAGCCCCTCCAGCACCGCCATGCAGCCAGTCTCCTCTCCCTCCGGTGTCCCCCCCACTCACTCCTGGGGGTCCTGACCACCTGGCACAGCACGAACTCTGCTCTGAGGCTGGAACCCAAACTCATCGCAGAGCACGTGGAGACTCTCAGAGCCCAGGAGTGAACTAAGGCCGGTGGGCGTTCGCCGGTCTTAGCATTCGGGGAGACCGGCACTGCCCTGTGTGACCAGCTGCTGACCTGCACGTGGCTGCTGCTGAGGTGAACGAAGGTCACGCTCGGTCAGTTTCAGTTACGCGCTTCAACGAGGCAGATGAAGACACATTTGAAGCCACGCTGGGAAGTGCATGAACGTGTGGGGACGCCCTGCCCAGAGCTCAGAGACCCACCCCGGGGCCTCGGCCCTCCCCTCCAAGACCTCGTGCAGCAGCACCTGGGGGGAACGCGCTGCAGCCCGGGCTGGGTAACCTCGGGGCGCCCAGCACGATACCAGAGTGAGCGTCTCAGGGCAGAAGCAATCGCTGGTGACGCTCAAGTCTCCTCCGAGGAGGCCACGAGAGCCTTCGCTCAGAGCAGGGGCGGCACAAGCTGGGGCTCTCGGGGAGCAGGCGCCTCTGGCAGCTCAGCACGTGACACGTCCCTGGAAACCTGTGGCAGGGGCTGTGGTCGGGGCGTGAGCAACTCAGGTGTGCAGAGAAACCCGAAATGCATTCTCGCTGCTGCAGTGCAAGGAAACTCTCTGCATCACAACTGGGAAAAGAAGGACTTCAAAAGACCCGGGCTCTTTGCAAAGCACCCGACCACACAGCGTGAAGTGCAGATGCACACTCACAGCAGCGCTCCGGAGCCCCGTCTCCCCCGGGACCCGCAGGGAACGGCCTGCACCCGTCACCTGTGTCCCTGGCCCTGCCTGGCTCTGGAGAAACCCGCTGGCTCCTCAGGGCCTCCCCCCGCTTCCCGTCACACAGTGGGCAGGAGGCCACCTGCAGGCCGGGCCAGCGGTCTGGGAGACTGTGGAATGGGTGAGTGTGGGCACCACGGGGAAGCAGCCATCACAGGAGGCCTACAGCCTCACGCAGCCACTGCAACACAAACTAACTAAAACGAAATAAAACGTGACAGTCAGCTCCGGGGCGCAGGAGCCATGTTGCAACCGCTCAGCCTCACGTGCAGCCAGAGGCCACCAGGGGGCGCTGGGCGGCAGCGGCGGCAGCAGCAGCACATCCTGGCACCGCCCCCGGGGGAGGATGCGCGCTAGGGGACCGGGACCGCCAATCAAACGTCAGTGGAGCACGTAGCCGAGGGCGCAGCGCCAGAGCACGCCTGCCGGGCAGCGGGTCTGTCTCAGCGGTGAGCGCCTTGGGAGCGCAGCGAGCCCTGCGCCAGTGCGGCCGGGCGGGGCCTCACCTGCTGGTCCTTCAGGTCGGCCAAGTCCATTTTGTTGAGGACGAGCAAGTGAGGCTTGATCCCGAGGGTTTCCTTAAACAGAGGGTTTCGGCCTGAAAGGGGGATGTGGCAACATTAAGGCAGAAATTCCTCCAGAGCGTGTGCTGGCCCATCGGTCCGCCTGGTCCTCTGGCCCAGCTCGCTGCTCCCTCAGCAGGGAACCTTCAGAAGGAGCCCAGGCCCGGTCTCAGGGCGGGCGCCCGTGCAGCCTCAGCAGCCTCGCGTCCCTGAGCCAGGACTCTGGCCCAGCGCTGCCCTCCCCAGGTGGCCACGGAGCCCCTGAGGCCGCCTCCTGTGGACCGGAGGCCACCAGCAGGGCCGTGGCCCTACACAGCTTCTCACACGGGAATGGCGGTAACAGAAACAGGAGATAGATCCGTGGAATGTTTTGTACACAGAACACTGTTTGTCCACAAAAGTTCAAAACGAATGACCTGGTAACCCGAAAAAGTGCTGTCCACGAAGTCCTCACTAGTGCGCCTCTTCTCCCACCACCACTGCCACGGAGGAGACAGCCCCCTGCCCCTGGGAGACCCCCACTGAAGCTTCCACCTCTTCACTCCCATCGCTGGGCCGCTCGTCCTCTCGGGCAGGGACCCTGGGCTCACTGCAGGGTCACCCTTGTGTGACACTGACGGGAGGGAGGCCTTGGCCTTCACCTCCTGAGCACTCGGGCCCCTCCTGGTGCCTCATCTCTGACGGAGTCTGGCAGGCCTGGGCTGCAGGCAGCAGGCACCTGCTGCGTCCTCACCCAACACACAACGTCCCACACCCTTCCCTCCGAGGCTCAGCAACCCTGCGCCCACTCGAAACACCAGAAGCCTCCAGGGCCGCGGAAGTCAGGCCTTCTTGCCACGTCCCGGGTAAGAAAGGCAGGATGTCTAGAGACCAGCGGAGATGACCTCCCACCACAGTGCTGAACAATAACCAGACTAAACACTTCTGACCAACATGAAGCAGGACATGAGTTGTTATGCTTGCCTACAACAACGAAAACCGATACTTTATTACAGACTTTCGCACAAGCCTTTGAAATGCTGAAAACTGTCCCTCACCCTCCAATCTAAAGCTGGTGTTCTCACAATGCTCCAACCAAAACCGTCATCACATAAAAAGAATCAAAATGTGGCTCAACAGAACAAAACCCAGGTCTGAAAAGTAAACTCCTGAAGGAACAAGAGCATCGCTTCTTGCTGATCTGTGCCTCAGGCGTGGTACCGGCTCCGCTTCCCACCTGGAGAACCCTGGGCTGGAGCCTGACAGGCAGAGGCCTGGGACAAATGACGCCACCAACGCATTGACAGGGAACTTCCAAAAGCAAGGGCCTGACCCCACACCAGAGAATCTGATTAAGTGGTCTGGAAAGGGGCCCAGGCCGATCCTCTTAAAAAACCTCCCGGGGGAATTTCAACGTGTAAGGAGGGATGAGAACCACTGCATAAGATGCCTGTAACCAGGGCAGGTGAGGCTGCTAGCTGCTGTGGTGGCTGAGGACCTGAGCAGGGACCAGGCCACGGAGGCGGGCGGAAACAGAGCCAGGAATGCGCCTGCAGCCTCAAGCCCTACCCGACTCAGGAGCAGGGCCTCCCCTGCACCACTACAGCTCTGCACCAACTCCAACGGGCCCCCCCCCACAAGCCAGTCCCCAGCACCAGCCACCTGTCCTACTGTCCAACTCTCCTGTCCTACTGTCCAACTCGGCTCCACCTGGATGTGGTGTTAGGCCCCACAGGGTCCGGGCTCAGACCCCCAAGACGGCCCCCCTCCCCCAATCTCAGACTCCACTCACAAGTCCAGGTTGTCACCCAGTCCCATGACGCCCCCCTCGGGTTCGACTAAGAGCGGATCGCAGGACTCAGAGGGACGTTGGCCTCACCAGATCGCCAGGTCACCATAGCAGGGCACACAGGCAAAGCGGGCGGGGGAGAGGGTCTAGGGAAGGGGCGGAGCTTCCGCGTCATCTCAGGAGTGCCACCCCCAGGCCTCCACCTGCTCACCCGCTCTCCCAGCCCCAGCCCCTCAGGGTCTGTGGGGACTTCGTTCCACAGGCAAGAAGGATGGACTCCTCGGTCATGGTGACTGATTCAACCTCCAGCCCCCTCCCTCCCTGGGGGCCTGGAGGTAGGGACTGCACCTTCCAACCCCCAAGTCAGGGGCGTCCCTGACACCAGCCCCCTCCCGAGGGGCTTTCCAAAGTCGCCTCGTTAGCATAAAAGACACTCTTGTCTCTCTCATCACTTTGGAAACTCCAAGGGTTTTAGGAGCTCTGGGCCAGGAGTGGGGACAGAGGCCAAAAATGTATTTCTTATTATAAGTCACAGCATCACAACCAGCAAAGGATATCCGGGCATCGTGGACCTCGATGATGCAGTCCACCAGCTTCAGGCTACTCTGCATCTTCTTCAGCCCTGGAAAACAGAACACCTAAGCCAGGTGTCCATGGCCTTTTGAGAGCACTAGCACATTTCAGCTGATCTGTCAGGAATGACACACCACCGCAAGCACCCTAAAAAAGAGTGCATCTGAGTGACAGGCTTTGCGTAAACACAACCATAATCAGCCCCTGGGCCCCTCCATCAGGTTCAACGTGAGCGCCCTGCCTGCAGGGCAGCCAAATCTGTCTCCACCACCTGAGGCTTTGGTGCCTCTGGGTGGGAGATTTAACCTCTGTGGGTCTTCGTCTGGGCCTTAAGCCGGTGATGCTGTGAGGACCTGAGCTGCAGCCAACTCACCCCTAACCAAGAACACAGCCGGCAAAAGTAACGAAGCTCTTCCGCCCCCAGCCCCGCCCACCCCACCTGCGGCAGCCTTCTGCCCAGCGACAGCGACACTGCTGCTCGGCCTCCCCTTCACAGCAACGCTGCCACTCACGCACACCCTCCAACGTCTCGCTCCTTCTTCCCACCCCACCTGTGCCACCCTCCCCCCCCCCCCCCCGCGTGCATAACATTGGGCAGCAGCCTGGAGTGGTTCTGAGAGACCTCGGGGGCTGGGGCAGGACAGTGGCAACCACGACACGGAAAGGGCTGGTCCGGTCCTAGACGCGCTCTTAGGACCAGATTATGATACTTAGAAGCTCCCAGACAGGTTCAGGCAGAAGATTAGAAGTGACTCTATGTTTTAAGGTGCTGCAGGTATCATAACTGAATACAACTTGCGAAGCGCTTTCCTATCCAGAGTTCCTTTAGTCCTCAAGATATTAAGCAGGAATATTACTTCTTCTTAAAACCCGACGTGGAAACAGGCTTCGGGGAATAAAGTGGCAGAAGGGTCTTGCTGGGGATCAGGGATTAGCTCATCCCGGGTCACCCTGGGTCACCCCGGCCGCCAAAGCCGCCGCCTCCCGACGCGCTCCAGGGCGACCAGAGAGGACCCGGGCGCCGGGAAGCCGCCCCCTCCTGCCAGGACCTCACCCTTAGCCATGTGGCCCGGGAACCAGCGCGCCACATCACGACCTCCCAAAGGGAAGCTCTCCCGCCAGGCGGCCCGCGCGGCGCTGCACAGCGCGCGCGGAGTCAGCCTCATGGCTTCGGACCCCCGAGCGCTGCGCCGTGCAGCGCAGGGAGCCGCTCCCTCCACGGACCTCTCCGCCCAGCCCGCGAGCCCGCCCGAAGGTTCCGGCACTCCAAGGTTCCGCGCACGGCGTGGGGGGGGGGGGGGGGGGGGGCGGGGGGCGCGTGCGCACAACGCTGCCTTGGGCTTCAGACGGCGCTCCAGGGGGTAGGGCCCGGGGCTGGGGCGGGGCTCCGGGACTGCTTCAGTCTGGTCCCATTTTACCTACCAACTTGGTTAAATTTTTCAAATATTTTAACTTTACCGTATAAATGTATTGTCCTGCTTTTCAAGTACTACAAGTTTTAGTGTAACAGACAAGCCCTCTGCAAGTGCTGGCTGCTGTTACTACACAGAGAGCTCGAAGCCGACACCGTGGAACCTAGTCCGGGCGCTCAACGCTCCTCAACCGCGCACTGGGTTATGAGACCCTTCCTCTAACGGAACTGTTGAAGCGAGCTCTTCAAGACCCAACACGCTCAGGTTCTCAGCACGAAGACATCATTACTGCGGTCTGGACGGCCTTAAACCTCCTGACACTCAGCGCTAAGTGTCCTTGGAGTTGAGACAAGCGCGCCCACCACCTGAGACAAGCCCTGTCCCGTGGCTTCTGGGCTCCTGATGAGTCAGACATCGTGGAGGGCTCAGCCCCAGCCCCCAGCCCCCAACCCCTGGGTCCTGCCTTTGCCTCCTGGGATACAGAAATGTCTCCCCAAGGCTCGTGGCTTGATGAAACTGTGGGTGTCCACAGTACAGATCAGTGCACCTGATGGAAGCAGCTTTGTTTCATAGCCCTCAGACAGTAAAACTAATTCTGGGTTCTGCTCACAGTGCTCTGACTGGCAGCTGTCCAACAGAACTATTCCAGCGACACACAGAAGTGGACACACAACTCCGGGGCAGGGAAGACCCCTTTCTTGGAGGGGCCACTTGACCCAAGACAGGAAAGACAAGGCTCTGTGCCAACACTCACCCCAACACTGCCCAGTGCACCCCCAACATGCTCCCCACACTCACCCTGAAACACACAGCTAGCAACTCTGTCCCTCTGCACTCGAGGTCTCACTGTTTGTTCTCTTCTTCCTCAAGACACAGCACCTCCTGGGCCCTCCCATCTTCCCACTCACTGGCCCCTGTCTGGCCCTCTGAGCAGCTGCGGGTGAACAACAGGAGGTCTGTTGGCTATGCTGCGGTCCCAGCCACCAGTGAGAACTCAGGAACTCCCGGACAAGGGGCAACCACAGCACCCAGAGTCCAGGGAACACAGGGGCGGGCGGGCAGGCCGTGTGCCGGGGGCACAGAACCCTGCAATGACCTGAGCCTGGGGTAAGGCAAAGACAGAAGCCACAGAAGCTGCAGCTCTGGGTGTAAGGACGACTCTGGACACAGAGGCTTTAACATGCTTTATGAGCAGCCAGCAGCATCCACGGCCGGCACACCTGTGTCTCGCTTCTCCAGGAAGACCTCCCAGCTCGGCTGCAGTCCAGCCCTGGCCAGACCCAGCAACAGCTGTGGAAACGATAGCCCCAACCCCGGCTACAACGCATTCCAGTGTCCAGCCAGGCTGAGTAAAGGAAAGGGTGGTGAGAGCCTCCCCCAGCACTGAGCGAGCAGGCAGGCTCAGGGCCCGGGCGGCTGCGCCTGGGGGTCCCGCAGAGCGATAAGCCGGTCGGCCTCCCTCCAGCCAGACAGCAGAGCCCCGTGTGTGGTGGAGTAAAAGGTTCGGTGTGTGGCTTCTCCCGCAAACAGGACCTGGAGCTGCAGAGAAGGGGGTTAGAACAGGGTGCCGCAGTCAGTGGAGCTGTTGCATTTGCGGACACGGAGCTGACGGGGAGTGCGTGACTCGGTTCTTCACGGAATCCCACACCCTGATGCAGCCACAAAACAACAGCAGGTGCTGCTCGTGGGAAGTGGCCTCAGACGGCAAGCACTCAGGACTAAACGCGACTGCAAAGCAGAAGACACAGCAGAAGGTCTGGGAGGAAACATTGAGAATATCCCCCGACACTCAGACACACACACACAAAAAAACACAGAGATGGAAATTAGGAGAGAAAAAGATAAGAACACTTGAGGACCAGTCCGAAGTCCACCACCCAAACAGCAGACATCTCAGAAAAAAGATAAAAGAGAAAAGCAGAGAGAAGATGACATAATTCACAAGAACTTCCCAGCTGACTGGGGGGATCAAGGTGAGCCATGTGAGAGGAGAAACACCTGCCGAGGGTGGCGAGCCCGCAGACTCAGTGGGAGTGGGAGCCTTGCACTCTTCCGAGCTTCCTAAGGGTCTGGCACACGGGACACAAGGAAGAAGGAACTCCAGGTGGCTCTGGACTCCCCGCAGAAACACTGGAAAAGGTTCCAACCCCGAGGGGCGTGACTCTCACACTAGGATTTTATGTGCAAAGCGGGCTTTTGCAAGGCTGCAAGTTCTTGGAGACTCCTTCCACAGAAAAGGGGGTCTGTGTCCTGCCCCTGGAATCTGGATAGAATGGCGCCTTCTGACCCCGCTTGGTCACAGGAGGCCATGCAAATGTCCTGGGGCTAGCCCGCTGCAAGGAAGCCCAAGCCACACAGAGCAGCCACAGGAAGGAGCTCCAGGCAGTGTCCCAGGCAAGCTCCACCTTCATGCCATCCTAGCCTGTGGCAGCATGTGAGAGGAGACTCGGGTGACCCCAGGCAGGGCCCTGAGTCACCCACTGTGGTCAAGTCTTCCCACTGAGACCCGAGACACCGTGGGGCAGAATGAAACCACCCCACTGTGCCCACCTATGGGATCATTGTTCCTGCCACTGGGTTCCGGGTTTGTTACCTAGTGACCAGGACTGGACACCTGCACTGTAAGGGTAGAAAAAAGGCACTTTCACACAGGCAAACTTTCTCTAAAAATTCACCTTCCATGTACCCCTTCCCAGGAAGCTACTGGAATTAACAGCCCAATAAAGTGAAGGAGCAAACCCAGAGAGGACGGAGAGGGGACAGGGTCCGGGACAGGAGGAGGCACAGGGAGCACCAGGTGACAGTGGTGAGGGACAGGGCTGGGGGAGGACAGAGGGTGTGGGGTAGACAGAGCACAGGCTAAGCGGGGTTTGGGGCAGGGGCAGGGGCAGGGGCAGGAGGGATGTGGGGCTGGAAGGGCCAGGCTCCGGCTCTGCCTCGGAAACGGAACCTGACAGTCACCAGCACCCACAGTGATGCGAACAGCTAGCAGAGCCCAGGCCAGAGGGCCCAGAAAACAGCCCTGCACATGCTCACTCACACACATGCCTGTACACACTCACCGGTACACACACGCTCACTCGTTCTCATGTAAACACACGTGTGCATTCGCACTCACGTGCCTCACTTGCACACACACATCTGCACACTTGCTCACAGGCGCATGCACACACACCCACACACTGACACCTACAAATGAGCAGGGGGAGACACCACGCGGTGCAGCAAGGGTGTCGGCGGTGCCCGGAGCCAGCCCGGTAACACGAACACTAGCGGTCTCACCAGAAGCCGCCGGCAGAGCGCTGGGCGGCAGAGAGTGGAAGAAACCTAAGCCCTTGCGTGCCAGTGGGAGTCCAGAGGTGGCCCCATCGGTCACACAGACTGAAAAGTGGTGACACAGCTCTCAGAAGACAAGGCTGAGTGTCGGGTGACGTGTTGATTCTCAGGACTAAGTTGTTCATTCTAAATGTGATAACAGTGCTGTTGTTACATGTTTTAAGAGGTTGTCCTGTGCCTTTTAGAGATGAAATATGTGCAAACAAAACGTCGCCAGGGGCAGGCTGAACAGCAGCAGTGCGGGCACAGAGGGGCCCACACCCCTGGAGCCCAAAGGTTCTGCCTGCTTCTGTACACTGCTGACGCCTCCCACAACCAAATGTTCTACAGAAAGTGGTGGAAGAGCCTTGTCTGGGTGCTCAGGCCTTTGCAGTGTGTCTGTCCCCAACACCAAAAGGTTACAGGTTCGACCTCCGGTCAGGGCGAGTGCAAGAGGCAACCAATTGATGTCTCTCCCTCTACCCCTCCCCCCTGCCCCTTCCTCTCCCTGTAAAATCAATAAAAATAACCTCGGGTGAGGATTAAAACCAAAGTGGTGGCAGAAACCTGTTCTTCGTAAGTTTAGAGACCAGAGTCAGCCAGAACAGCCTGGAGCACCCTCCACCAGCCTCCTAAACCGTGAGACGGTGTTAGATGGCTCTAGAAGTCTCGGAGGCCTTCAGCTACGTGCATGGATGATTCTGGTGAAAATGATGCATTTTAAAATTATTCTTAATTTCTAAAAGGGATTCTGAGTCTCAGGGGTCCCAGCCCCACCCACACTCCCTTGGGTTCCAGCAGCTCCCGGGGACACGGACCGCCCAGGGCTCACATCATACCTGGGCCTTCTCTCTGTCCGCAGGGAGGGGCTCGGCCAGCAGGTCAATGTCATCCCCGGTGGTGCCCACGGCCACGTAGCTATAGGAGCCCCTGGTGTACGGGGCGCTGTGCCAGCGAGTCCTCAGCACACTCTTGGGGGCGGGAAGCTGCGGATTCCCTGAACCACAGAGACGCCAGGTGTGAGCCCGGGACTCCTGCCCGCACGGCTGCGCTGGGGCCTTCATTTCCGAGGCTGGCCAGCGTAAAAGGAAAGAACCTACCCAGGAAGGAAGCCAAGCCTCGGAAGGTAGGAATGAGAGGCTCTCCCTGTCTTCTCCGCCCTGCCCCCCTGAGGACACCACCAGCAGCAGCAGCTGCGTTCACCCCCTGCGTGACCGCGGAGGTCGCTGTGCTCCGTCCAGCCTCTGCGGCCTCGTCTGCACGGCCCTGATCAGGGACAGCTGCAGTTGCTTTGGTGGCATATTTTAGAAGGAAGCAGAAAGTGTTTGCAAAGCCACTTCAGTTCCTCAGAAACAAGAACCCCGGTGAGTGGCCCCACCGACATGAGGAAGGGTTGCCCCTAGAAGTTCATGGAGGCAAACCCAGCTCTTCCCTGCTGGGAAGCTCAGCTCCCGTCTGGAGATCAGCCCACACGGAGCGCAGGCAGAGCAGGGCCGTGCTGGTGAGTAC